AAAGAAGGATACAATATCCTTTCTTCAATCTGAAGTTTCCATTATCTCCTATCAAACCTGGGCTACACATTCGTCAACATTCCACAGTTGTATGTGCACATGCATGAGCACTGCATGTGAATTAACAGCTATAACAATATCTACCTGCCATCTGAGGCTTTCAAGTGGAGAAAAAGCCTACAGGAGATTCTATACAGCCTCTAAGCAATGTGAGAAAGAGATCCACCATCTCTAGCACTGGATCAGGCAGATGCTCCTTTTCTGCTTCTAAAATTCTTCTACTCTCCCTCCTTTAACTATATTACTCATATTACACATTTGGATAGCATTGTGAAAATATAATACGTTGTCTATACAAGATGCTATGGAATGAAATACATCATGAAGTTTCCCAGTGAGATCACAAGGAAATCCAAACTCCCCACCAAAGCAGTCCCAGTTTTCATTACATGTATCCTATACTCCAGCCAAATTGAAACCAGATTGCAGTTTACCTTACCTCTCAAACACCGAGTCTTTGAGAGCCATTTCTCTCTTTTCAATTCCATTAGAATGCAAACTCAATAAGGCAGAAGCTTTGTTTTACCACTGCTTCCCCAACACCCAATAAAATGGGTGGCACTCAATAGTTGTTGAATGAATCAATGGCACAATGTCTGTGTCATTCACTTAACACTTGCCTTATGTTTCCTTGTTTTTAATCCTATGTTTATGTCCTACTTCCTCAACTAGACTATAAACTCTTCAAAGACAGATACCATTCCTAACACATCCTTGTATTCTTGGTCCCACAAGAATGTTCTCACAAGAGAAACTTAGTAAATGTCAAAACTCAGAATACTGTCACAATGAAGGAATGGGCAGATAATCTCTAATTCTGTAACCACTGTATGATACTATTATTCAGCTATTAAAATGGACACTCAAAGGACAATTGTGTAGGTAGAAAAATCTATTTTTTCACCCCAGCAGACATAAAGATAGAGACAGGTTGAGAAAAACACATGAAATGTGGCATAGAACATGGTAATTTCCAAGGCTTACTAAAGTAAATTGGACTTTTTAAACTTAATTTTAGAACTAAACAGCTATTTCTTTTACACTAACAATATACACTTCAAGTATCTTCCAGTGCACCTGAAAATCTTTCATTCTTTGAAAAGTTAAGAAAGTCCTAAAACTTGAACTACAGAACAGAGAGTCCTCAAGCTTAATCCCATTCTGAGAATAATAAAAGTAAGATTCTATGGGATTCTATCAGTATTCTCAAAATTATTAAGCATGTATCATATTCCATCACAGCCAATCTGATAGGTAAACTACAGTTCTGGAAAGTCTAATTACACATTATGATATCAAATGTTTTGAGAACCTTAAGCCACATAAACAAAAGCCAATCTATCAAAAAGAGAAAAAATGTTCAACAGGGAAACCTCCCACTTACCCTGTGATTTTATATCCATAGTCACATATGGGAAACTCCCAAGGACAGCCATAACCTCTTCATATTTTTCATCTTCAAGGAAGTGAAGTAGATTGTGACGATCTGATTCTTTTAAACTCACCAAATCCTGAATAGTCTTAATTTTGTACTGAATTTTAAGAGAGAGAGAGAGAGAGAGAAAGAAAATAAATCCCAAAGTCATAGAATTTTTCACAAAAAGAAAATTAGCATGTTTCACTAAAACAAAATCCAATAACTTTTAGAAAAATGCTAAGATCATACTGGCTCCCAAACTTACAATGGTTCTACTTACAATTTTTCAACTTTACAATGCTGCAAAAGCAATGCATTCAGCAGAAACCAAACTCTGAATTTTTATCTTTTCCAGGACTAATGATATTTGATACAATACTATCATTATGCTGGGGAGCAGCAGCAAACTGTAGCTCCACCAGCCACGCAATCACAAGAGTAAACAATCCATACACTTACAACCATTCTGTACCCATACAATCATTCTGTTTTTCACTTTCAGTACAGTATTCAATAAATTACAAGAGACAGATATTCAACACTTTATTATAAAACAGGCTTGTGTTAGATGATTTTGCCCAACTGTAGGTTAATATAAGTGTTCTGCGCATGTTTAAGGTAGGCTAGGCTAAGCTATGATGTTTGGTAGGCTAGGTGTATTAAATGCATTTTTGACTTAGGATATTTTCAACTTACGATCGATGGCTTTATGAGGATGTAACCCCACTGTAAGCTGAGGAAGATCTGCATACACATTTCAAAGCAAAAAATACAACTTTATAGCATTTCATGGCCTTTTATCCAAAGAAATTCAAATTTAGGATTTTTTTTTAATTACAAAGTTAATACAGGGTAATTTTTTAAATTTAGAAAAAATAAAGTTAGGAGGAAAAAAAAAACAGTAATATTCACAGAATCTTGACCCAACCAAGAACAACTATCATTTGATATGCTCAGTTTGCTGACCCATATTTTCTATTTTAATGATAAAAACCTTTAAGAGTATGAATTTATCTCCAAGTACAACTGCACCCTTAAGGTTTTACTATGCAATATTCTCATTTTTGTTATTTTCTAAATACAGCTGTCTGTTATTGCAGTAATATCCATCTAGGCTAAAGGGATACTTAGGAGAGTATTCATTTCCAGGCATTTGGTACTAGTTATTAATATTTACTTTCACAGACAGAGCTTAGATCATGAGGAATGTGGAATGCCCACTTTTTGATTACACAGTTTTCAATTCAAAATGTGAACAAATTTATAAGGGTAATACGATTACCTGAAAGGACAGAGAACTCATATGTGAATCTCTAATACACATTAGTTCTACCTTAATATACTATCAAATCCCATGTCTATCTTCCGCCCACTTTGTCTAATGTATGCAAAGTAATGTTTAAAATCTCCTATCAGAATTATAATTTGTTTTTTCTTATATTTCCTCAGGTTTTTTCATTTATACATATTTTTGCCATATCTTAAGATTCATTATCAGATCTTTACAATAGATTGCATTATCTAAATTAGAAGCATCTTTATTTGATCTACTTATGTTTTGAAAACTTAATTTTTTTTGTTCCTATTCAACCAATAAGCCATGCCCAACCTTAAAAGCCAGGCATGAAATGACTGGAAAGCATACAGTGCATTTTTACTCGTACATTTATTTCTGGTAACATAATATAAAGAACAAAGTCTTAATTGTTAAAATGCACTGACCTCCAAAGTAGTAAAATCACTTACAGTAGGTAAATTTATATTATAAGACACCTCCCTAAACAAGAAAATGCTAACAGAATCACTTAAGGAATAGTTGTAGAGTGTTTAAGACATTCTAAATCTAAGAAAGCCATAGTAAACACTTCTAGAACACTTTTCATTCGTGCTACCTTTAAGTAACATGACAAACTGTTTAAAGCTAATTTTAAAGTGGCAAAGAATTACCTTTTTATGATTAGAAACCCTCCTAAGATTGTCCTCTTCAATGTGAGGGAGCTGCAGAAGGGGAGACTTAAACTGCTGAAGGCCCTGCACAGCCATCTGGGAAAGCTTCATGCAGTTTTCTAGGGATGCCAAAGTTGGAGCACGAAACTCCCTTTCTTAGAAAGAACAGGAATAAAAGAAAAAACAAGGCTGGACTTTTTATGTGTTCCGGAGTACACAACTCATCATGAAAACATGACTCATATGAATATCGTTAACACCTCAAATTTTAAGATCACAGTGTTGATTTTCCTTTAAAAGTTGTAAAATCCAGTATGGAGGTTCCTCAAAAAGTTAAAACTAGAACTACCCTATGACCCAGCAATTGCACTACTATGTATTTACCCAAAGGATACAAAAACAGATTCGAAGGGATACATGTACCCTGATGTTTACAGCAGTATTATCAACAATAGCCAAACTATAGAGAGAGCCCAAATGTCCATCGACCAATGAATGGGTAAAGAAGATGTGGTGTATATATACAAAATGGAATATTACTCAACTATCAAAAAGCATGAACTATTGCCATTTGCAACGATGTGGACAGAGCCAGAGTACATTATGCTAAGTGAAATAAGTCAGAGAAAGATAAATACCACATGATCTCATTCATATGTGGAATTTTAAGAAAGAAAACAGATGAACATATGGGAAGGGGGGAAAAGAAAAAAAAATAGAGAGAAGCCATAAGAAACTCTTAATGACAGAGAACAAACTGAGGGTTGATGGAGCAAGGTGGGTGGGGGATAGGCTAAATGGTGATGGTTATTAAAGAGGGCACTTGTGATGAGCACTGGGTGTTGTATGTAAGTGATGAATCACTGAATTCTACTCCAGAAACCAATGTTGCACTGTATGTTAACTACCTAAAATTTAAATTAAAAAAAAAAGTTATAAGATACCAAAAATATACAAACATGTTCAAATGCAACAACCATTATCCAGCAACAAGCATTGGTTTAACAGAAAAATTCTTTGCATCACCTCCCAAAACAGTAAATTATCAGTATCAATAACATACTGATACCATGCCAAGAACTGACATCAGCCATAACAACAAACCACAACCATTATCTCCTTTCTTAAGGGTCCCCTTTTCCATTACTGACCACAAACTCTCTCATTTTTTTTTCTTTCCCCTCATTCTTTTCTCCCTTCATGCAAAAAACACTACATGTCAGATAAGTCATTATTACATCACTTAAAGAATTATTTCAAACTCATTGTTAAAATACAGAATAACCTAACTCTAAAAATATTCAAAGGAAGGAAAAGGTATCTTAAATCTTTACAAACAATAAGTGACAACAAACAATAAAACAATAAATAAATGCAAAAACATGAATTGTGATAAAGACTTTACATAACGGAACATACAGGAAAGAAGTAAGAAAAACCATGAATAAAAGTGGGAAAGCTGATTCAACTTATATAATATATAGGCAGAATTACTGTAGGTACTCAAAAATCCTAAAACTGTAAGTATAATCTGCAGGAGCTTGCAAGAAAAAGTACAACATAAGTAATTACATTTCCACCTCACCTTCACGGCTCCGGGCCATTATTATTAGCTGGCAGATTACATTAACCATTTCTTGAAGTAGGGCAGGGCATTTTTTCAACATAAATTGCTGATCTGCAAAACAAATGAAAACCTGAAACAAATCATTCCACTTTTATAGTTAAAACATCTTTATCATCTATAGTCCAAGACTGATACTAAATTCAAGTTGTCCCATAAATATTTCAGATGACCTCAGAATTTTACAGGTTGAACACAACAGTTTCTCCTAAGCAGGACTGTCAAAAATCAGTCAGAAAACCCTAGATCAGATTAGATGTTTCAAAGGCAAATTTTTAATATTGTGGTGTTGTGCTTCATAAGTTAACTTTCGTTTTTTGGAAGAATAGTCTTAAACTTAATTCTAATCTTACTACATTTAAGAAACCTTAAGAATCTTCTTCTTGTGCACCTAAGTTTCTATAACTATGAATAAGTCCAAAGACTAAGATTGAGAATAAATCTTAACTCAATGCAGAAAGAGAAGGGGGAGAAAGAGGAAGGAGACAGACTCATTTTTACTGCATGTAATGGTTAACTATTAAGATCATCCACTGGGGTTAGTACTCAACCTAAAAAAATATTTGTTCCCTGTTAGAAAAAAATGGAGATGGTTTCATATCTGTACAGAATATTAGAAAAATCAGAATTACTGGTTAATTTGCAACTCCAACAACAATGCCTAAATAGTGATCCTTCATTCCATCCTAAGTATCCTATCTTATCACCAATTACTGAGCATCAGCTAGCCTTGTTTTTGGAGGCATTTGGTTTTATTATTGGCTTTAAAAAGGGACAGAAGAAGAGGAGCTTCATTCAGAAAGAACATTTATTCCCTAGGTATAATAATTTTCTTTTAAAACTTCAAATGAAGTAATGCAAGTAAAGAAGAAATGACACTCAAATTCATGACATCCCTGGAAACAGCACTGTCCCAATCCACTGCTTTTCTTTTACATAGAGAGGTGGCTTCAAGCAATTTAGGAAGCGTTCAATAAAAATTAAATCCTTTATCAGCAATTACTGCTGGAGGTGATGGTAGTAGTGGTGGTTGACTGAGATATTTGTTGTGAAATCCATTTTTTCTTCCCCCGAAAAGCTTAAAAAGCTTACAAAATCTTTTTTAAAAAGTCACTAGAAATTACTATATAATCTGCAACTGAATAAACATTTCTCAGAGTCTTCTCTCACCTTGAAATACTAAATTTTAACATTTGTCAAAGTATATGACTTACCTTAGACTTTCAAAATATTTGTGAATTATGTAGCATAAAGTTTTCTTTTTAAAAGGTCCTTAAGCAATTATTTGATTGAGCAAAAAAGAACAGGGCCAAAACACTGCACCATGAGGTCTAATTAAATCCACTGCTTTTGTACTATTAAAACCCTGCCGAGGGGTGCCTGGGTGGCTCAGTCAGTTAAGCATCTGACTCTTGGTTTCAGCTCAGGTCATGATCTCAGGTTCGTGAGATCAAGCCCCACCCCAGGCTCCATCCTCAGCTCCAAGTCTGCTTGAGATTCTTCCCCCATCCTCTCCCTCCCCCAGCTCGTGTGTGCTCTCTCTCTAAAATAAATAAATGTTAAAAAAACAAAAAACCCTGCAGATACTAGAATCTTACCTTCTTCAAGGGTCTCAGGAATTTTCATTCTAGCAAGATGAGATAGTAAAAGAACTCTGGCTTTCAGGCTATATGGGCAGGTAAGTGGAGGCTCATTCTTCTTTAGATTAATGCTGCCAATTTCTCTGATTAGCTAGAGTAAATAAAATAATTATTAAAAAATATATACCTAAAAAAGCATTTACTTTAATACCTAAATGCTTATATCAAGGAATATGGGAGTTAGGCCTAACCTGAGGTATTAGAATATTATCTGTTGGTCTGCTTGTGGCATCTTTATTATACTGAGGATCAAATTCAGAGGCTCCAGCCAAAACCATGATAAGACCTAAGAAAACAAAAGTAATATGAAGGTAAATAAATACATCTGCTCACCTATTAACTTCCTCTCCTATGATATTTCATTAATCCTACACTGAAGCAATTTTCCACTTGCATGGAAAGCTAAAAATCATCCGAACTCCGTTAACAAGTATTCATTTTTCCCATAAAAAAGAAACATTTCACTTTTTAAAATATGTACAATATTACCTATCACAAGTAAACAGAAATATACATCAAATTAAGGGCCCCAAAGCACTGGATGCATTAAAATCAGTTTAAATAGCATCTGTTTCTAGACTTAAGCATGTGTTCCACAGAAACTTTCTACAGAGCAATTATTAAGTATCCCATGTGATCTTAATAACTATTAAGTGAAATAAAGAGGGGCTCCATAGTTAAAGAAGGCTGAGAAACAATGAGTTAGAGAGAGTTTTAGGTCTGATGACTGGCACTACAGTCATGAATCTCACCTTCCAGCAGAAAATGCACGCAATGTATTCACAAAAAGCAGGACAGTACAGAGGTTAAGAACACAGACCCCAGAGTTTCACTCCCTAACTAAATGGCCTAGGACAATATTCTTCACCTCTCTATGGGCTTCAGTTTCTTCAGATGTGCCTGACACACAGTAAGCACAGTAGTATGTGTAAGCTACTAACTACCATTACTGCCCTCAAATGTTTCATGAAACATCTACTCCTAAAACAGCTGTATAATAAATGATGCCAACACTAAAGTAATCAAGGATGTATAACCAAGCCCACCAGCAACTAAACAATGCTTTTCTCATAGAACTGTGTAAGGGTAAGTGTCACTGTCAGAAATAAAATAGGAATCAAGATCACTGACGCAAAAAAACACATTAAAACACACCATAAACATGAAACACTTTCATAAGGGGGTTTCTATATTAATATCTCAATTCAACATAAGGAAAAGTGATATATGTGTATAAAAGGGAGAGTAACAACCACTTATTCCTCAGAAATAAAAGACCTGCTCATTCCAAAAATACTCCAAAAATAAAAGATCTGTTCACATAGTTACATGATTCTGAGAAGTCTCTTTCTCATTACCAAAAAAATTAATAAAACTGGCAAATCCAAACTACAGAAAACTCCACTGAGGTTTTGGAACAAAAATGTATTCTACAGTGAGGCACAATTTAAAACTTTTTAAAACTTGTGTCTTCCTTTTTTTTTTTCCTCAAGGAGGGGAAGCAGGGTTTTTTTATGATATGTCTGTAAGTTCTGCAGAGCAGTGATTCTGAAATGCAACATTATATATTCCAAGGATAAAATTTATACTGTTAGCTTTATGGCATCAAAGAAAGTATTTTAAATGGAACTTTTTTTTTCCATAAAGAAATTCTGAAATAAGAATCTGGGAATTAAATATTCTGGCAATTTTCTTTCAACACATCCAAGATCTCTACTTATTTTATTGAGACTAATGTATAACGTACTGATTTAGGGCTTGGGAACCAGACCTCTTGAGTTTGATCCTAACTCTACCACTTACTGTATGTATCCTTAAGCTCAGTTTCCCCATCTATAAAATGTGCTTAAAAACAGTAACTTACTTATGGGAGCAAAATAAAGATTGAGTTAACACATACGTAATCCCTAGCAATGCCTGGTATACAATACTCAAGAAATACTAGCTAGTATTATTACAAAATTAACCCACATGAAGCTTTACCATACAATTTCTAGGGGGAAAAAAATACATATATATATAGCTGAGTAAATGGGAATAATAGAAACACAATACATGTGGGCGCCTGGGTGGCTCAGTTGGTTAAGCGACTGCCTTTGGCTCAGGTCATGATCCTGGGGTCCTGGGATCGAGTCCCACATCAGGCTCCCCCTGCTCTGTGGGAAGCCTACTTCTCCCTCTGCCTGCCACTCCCCCTTCTTGTGCTCTGTCAAATAAATAAATAAAATCCTTAAAAAAAAAAAAAAGAAATACATGTGATAAAGGGTGTTAGCATTCTCCTCCAGCTTTAGTTATATGAAGAGAATATAAAACTGAATGAAATGTCTCCAGTTGAATATATATCACATAAATGACTTGGAAAATAATCTAATATCACAGCTACTTAAATTTACTTACGTTTCATATCCATATTTCGGGTTTTATAAACGAAATATGTATAAATCTGTGTTGTGCGTATTAGAATCTGGTCTCCACTATAACGTATTGAGCGATACCACCAAGAACCCTAAAATGCAAGTAAAATTAAACAATAAATAAAGCATCAAAACCACAATATTAGGTTTGATGCAGAATATGTTTCTGGTCAAATTTTCTAAATGTTCATAAAACAAGTAACAATACCTGAACTTTAGAACAAATGCTTTGTTACATATTTCAAATTATTTAGCAAGTATTCATACTGCCCAACACCTAAACACCAACCTACCTCACTACATATATATGATTAAAACATTTATGGTTCAGTTAGAAGCTGAAGACAAAACAAACAAAACAACCCATTGCTATAAAAGCAAAAAGCTGGTTTCTGACAGTATTTAATAAATATTTGATAAATAAGTGCAGGAGCAATTTTACAGTTGATATACTACTTTCATTCACATGATTCCATATAGCTGGATCCTCACACAACAAACCTATGAAGGCAAGACAGGTTAATTATCAGTCTCACTATGGGACTCAGAGGAACTACAAGACCAGAAAGAAAACCACCCAGTCACAAAAGAAACAGTAAAATCATAAACTTTATGTTATCTTCATATTGAGGTGTTATGCAATAGTTTTTAAAATGAGGTTGCTCTATATGTTGTGCCTCCAATATAGGAAGCAAAAAAAGTCACAGAACAATACATACAGTAAGATGACATTTTTTTTTTTTTTAAGTGCGTATGTATATACAATCCATAGAAAAATATCTGAAAGGGGCACCTAGGTGCCTCAGCTGGTTAAGCGTCCGACTCTTGATTTCGGCTCAGGTCATGATCTCAGAGCTCCATGCCCAGCAGGGAGTCTGCTTGAAATTCTTTCTCTCCCTCTCCCCTGTCCGTCCCCCTCCTCAAAAATAAATAAATAAATATTTTTTAAAAATCTGAAAGGGAGAACACCAAACTTATCAGTGATTATCTCTAATGAAGAAATGAAGTTGAGGGAGGTGATGAAGGAAGACATTCTAAACTCTAAATACATCTGTATTATTTCAGTTGTGTAACTTTTGTATTGGGAGGAGATATATACTCTAACATACTCAAATGATATCACCTTTAGAAGACCTTTAAAGTATACTTGAATGTAAGATTCTTAAAATTCAAGGATGAATGGATTATATTCTAATACAAATTGCAATCTTATAAGGAGATTCCAAAGCATGCCACCAATTCCCTTTCCAAAAATTGTTAATAAAAAGAGTTAGAACTTACTACAACAACTGGAAGGATAACCATGAATGCTAATCCATATACAAGTAAAACCTAGAATGGAAAAGAAAATAATTATGCCTTTCACAGGTCAATTATAATACCTAAGAACACTTATTTTTAGGTTTACATGGGAGAGGCACTATCAAAAGCACTCCTCGTGTATTATTTCATTTAATCCTTATTTTCAAACTCTATGAGAAAGGTACCATTATTATTTTCCTTTTGCAAATACAGAACCTGCAGCAAACACAGGTTACAACTCTTGTCCCAAGTCACACAGCTAGTAAGTGGTGGAGCCAGGATTGGAATCCAGGCATTTCAACTCTAAAACTTTATGCTTTTATCCACTATAATAAATTACCTTTTAATCTGCTCTGTAGATAACACCAGCAAAACAGCTTTATAAATGGTATTTTCCGTCCAGTCAGGTACTTATAGATGCACACCTTCGCAAGTAGTTAGTGTCTTAGAAATAAATAATAGAAGCCTGGTTCCTTATCAAGGAACAACTTCATAATGTTCTGTTTACAAGTAATTTCTATCTATTGATCTTAGATTTTTCTCCTACTACTTGATCCCAAATCAGGTAGCTAACTATCTTTCTCTTCTCCAGTATTCCCACAGTAATCCTAAGCATGACAGACACTCTTATATATGAAACCATATATCCCTTAAGATAATGTTTGTCAGCCATAAAATAACATTAAACAGCCATTTTCAAAACAAATTACAGACTATATGAATTTTCTTTTTTATTGCTTCAAAGACAGCTCCTAATCATTTTTAAGAAATGTGAAATAGGGAAACATCTATTCCTGAACAATAGGTTAAGATAATTCCCAACGTTTTAGAGTTGCAGCATCTATCACTGATTAAAAGTCTGATATCCTGGGGTGCCTGGGTGGCTCAGTTGGTTGAGTGTCCAACTCTTGGTTTTGGCTCAGGTCATGATCTCATAGTCATGGGACTGAGCCCCCACGTTGGGCTCCACACTCAGTGCGGAGTCTGCTTCAGATTCTTTCTCCCTCCCCCCATGCCCCTCATCTCTCTCTCTCTCTCTTTCTCTCTCAGGTAAATAAAATCTTAAAAAAAAAAAAAAAAAGTCTGATATCCTACTGCCTCCCTAAGTACCATACAGAATATATACAGCATTAATTTAGCATATGTTATAACATTAATTTAGCTTGGGTAAATGTAAAATGAAGGATAATTCCAATTTTGAGTACTACTTAGGATACCATATAAAACCAAAGTTCTCCAAACCAATGGTAAGACCTGACCTGAAACTGCCTCCAAAAGAAATCACAACTTTAAGGTTTTAAAACTACATTTAGAACACACTGCCCAAATAGCAACCTAATAATGAGAACCAATTCTTTTCTCCATTATGTAAAAAGTTTTCACAATACACAGTTACATTAAAAACAGCATTGCAGTATTTTTTTATAGCTCCCTTTATATTACTAAGCTATATCTAACACATTATAATGTGTCTTATTTACATACACTCACCAAAATTGAGTTTTTCTGGTCGACTATCCAAGCTGGCAAGGCAATTCCAAAGCTTGTGGCTAAAACAGAAAGAGTATTTCTGAAGAATATCCACTTTCAGTTTTATTATTTAGTTATATCCCAAAATTCTTCCTCCCAACTCCCCCCAACCCAAAAAAAGCTTTAAGAAAGATTATATTATGTGTGTTCCCATTACATAAAAGTTAATGGATTTTTCCAGAAGGTGGGGGGGAGAAACTCGACCAAAGTACATGAATTCCTTCTTATTAAATCTAAATTATTTTATATGTCCTGGGTAATGTAAACACTGTGAATATACAAGAAAATGTTTAAAGTCAATAAAGAAAAACAGATTCTTTTCATCCAACTTTTATCAACTACTAGCTGGAAATGATGAATAATTACAGTGATTACTCTTCTCATCAACCCGATCTAAGTTCTATCTTTCAAACTAGTTGCTAGAAAGAAAAACAAAGTAAAAATTAGCTAAAGAGAGCTCATTTACGTATCTATTTAGCTCCTTGAGGTTATAAATTTCCTATTAACAAACTAAGAAAATCAAAATATTCTTTTCAATCTATTAATATTTTCATTATACACACACACACACACATATATACACCATTTCACCAGTAATTTGTAATTATTATTTACCACACCTTGAGGGCCATCTGGATTTCCAAACTCTTCCCAATTTTTCCGCGACTCTTCATCAGTTAAACTAGCATTAAAAGAACAAAATTGCAAAATTAGAAAGGCACATCTGAAAAGTACTCATATATACAAACTCTATCTAACCAACTCATTTCTTACAGATATTAATTTTAGAAAATCAAGAAAAGCCTCTCTGAAATCAGAAAAAAAGAGAGAGAGGAAAGCAAGGAGTTCTACATTAAAGCAAATGAGAACTACTGAGCCTTTACAGAAATTCCTGGTTGGCCCGTGGTTTCTCAAGTTTTGCGAGTTCAAGCAGGAAGATAAAACTTTAAAGGTTACTACATTTTCTGAGAAGGCAGGGAGGATTACAGGTGACTTTCTTCTTATATCCTCATATATTTTCCAAAATTTCTTCAATGAGCACTGTTTATACTTTAATAATAATATATACCTATTTATAAACTTAATACAAATTAATAATAATAACCCCCCCAAAACTGGTACCACATTCTCAAAGAAAAAAACGAATACCTGTAAAATTCCATTGCTATAGAAAAGGTCATTTGCATTGTGCTGAGGTCACAATTTTCTCCTAAACCAACTGCCAGAAGGACTAGGATAATACCTGCTAAAGCAACAGCTTCCTAACCCAGCAATATAAAAATGACAGAGTGATTTTTTTAAACACGTAAAAAGAAATATTACCCTTGATCTGGGCCATGGCTCAAGGCACAAAATGAGAGTGGTTTTATTCCAGGTCCCAAAATAGATGTTAAAAAAATACTAAAAGAAAATTTCAATTCCTTCAAAAACTTTACAATGCTGTTAAGCAGACAAGGCAGACACATACAAAATGACCAGTAGTATCATAAGAAAGGCATTTTTTGAAGACTAAGTGGCAAAAGATTATGTTTATATCCAAATCTAATTTTAACATTCCCAGAATATACACACAAATGTAGTTTTCTATTCAACAAAGCTCCACATTAAGAGTGAAAATGCAGAAGTACCTTTAAAAACTAGCAAAAATTTTCAATGAGTTCAAATTTTTTTCCTCTAAACCATTCTATTTTTTATTATTTTTTTAAGTAAGCTCTACATCCAACGTGGGGCTTACACACTATACTGACTCAGCCACCCAGGTGCCCCCTAATTTTTTTTTTTAAAGATTTTATTTATTTATTTGACAGAGAGAGACAGCGAGAGAGGGAACACAAGCAGGGGGAGTGGGAGAGGGAGAAGCAGGCTTCCTGCCGAGCAGGGAGCCCGATGCGGGGCTCGATCCCAGGACCCTGGGATCATGACCTGAGCTGAAGGCAGACACTTAACGACTGAGCCACCCAGGCGCCGCCCCCCCTAATTTTTTTTTAACTGAAGTACAGTTAACACACAATATTACATTAGTTTCAGGTGTACAAAATAGAGATTGACAAGTTTCTAAGTTATGCTATGCTCACAAGTGTAGCTACCATCTTTCACTATACAATGCTATTATAATACCATTGACTGTATTTCCTATGACTTATTTTTAAAATATTCCCTTTTATTCCTATGACTTATTTTTTCTGTAAATCTGTATCTCCAACTTCCCTTTATCCATTTGCCCATCCTCCCATCCCTTGTCCTCTGGCAACCTCAGTTTGTTCTCTGTATTAACGGGTCTGTTTCTGCTTTTTGGTTATTTGTTTTGTTTTTTAAGCTCCACATGTAAGTGAAATCATATGGTATGTCTTTCTCTGCCTTATTTCATTTAGCATAATACCCTCTAGGTCCATCCATGTTGTCACAAATGGCAAGATCACCTTTTTTATGGACAATAGTCGTGTGTGTGTGTGTGTGTGTGTGTGTGTGTACCACATCTTCTTTATCCATTCATTTATCAATGGACACTTGGGTTGCTTCCATATCTTGGCTATTGTAAATAATACTGCAATAAACATAGGGGTGCATATATCTTTTTGAATGAATGTTTTTGTTTTCTTTGGGTAAAAACTCAATAGTGGAATTACTGGATATACGGTATTTCTATTTTTAATGTTTTGAGGAACCTCCACACTGTCTTCCACAGTGGCTTTACCAATTTACATTCCCAACAACAGTGCACGGAAACTTCCACATCCTCGCCAACACTTATTTTTCTTTTTGACTGTAGCCATTTTGACAGGTGAACGGTGATAACTCACTGTGGTTTTGATTTGCATCTCCCTGATGATTAGTGCTGTTGAGCATCTTTTCATGTGTTTACTGACCATCTATATGTCTTCTTTGGAAAAATGTCTATTAAGGTCTTCTGCCCATTTTTTAATTGTATTGTTGGTTTTTTGGTGTTGCATTATGTAAGTTCTTTATATGTTTTTGATATTAATCCCTTACTGAATATGTCATTTGCAAATATCTTCTCCCATTCAGTAGTTTGCCTTTTTATTGGTTTCCTCCACTGTACAAAAGCTTTTTATTTTGGTGTAGTCCCAATAGTTCATTTTTGCTTTTGTTTCCCTTGCCTTATAATTTTTTAAATCTTTTTAAGTAGGCTCCATGCCCAGTGTGGGGCTTCAACTCACAACCCTGAGATCGAGTCCCATGCTCTATTGACTGAGCCAGCCAGGCACCCTGCCTTATGATTTTTATCTAGAAAAATGTTGCTATGGTGGGGATCTCAAAGAAATTACTGCCTATGTTCTTCTAGGTGTTTTATGGTTTCAGGTCTCATAACTAGGTCTTTAATCTATTTTGAGTTTATTTTCGTGTATGATGTAAGAAAGTAGTCCAGTTCCATTCTTTTGCATGTAACTGTCCAGTTTTCCCAGCACCATTTTTTGAAGAGACTGACTTTCCCCATTGTATATTCTTGCCTTCTTTGTCATAAATTGACCATATAAATGCAGGTTTATTTCTGGGCTCTCTATTCTGTTCCACTGATCTGTGTGTCTATTTTTGTGCCAATACTATATAGTTTATTTACTATAGCTTTGTAGTATATCTTGAAATCTGGAATTGTTATACTTCCAACTTTGTTCTCCTTCCTCACGATTGCTCTGGCTATTCGGGGTCTCTTGTGGTTCCATATAAATTTTAGAATTATTTATTCTAGTTCTGTGAAAAATACTATTGGAATTTTGATAGGGATTATATGGAATTTGTAGATTGCTTTGGGTAATACAGACATTTTAACAATATTAATTCTTCAATCCATGAGCATGGAATATCTTTCCATTTCTTTGTGTCATCTTTAATGTCTTTCATCAGTGTTTTATACAGAGTACAGAAGTCTTTCACCTCCTTAAGCTTATTTCTAGGTATTTTATTCTTTTTAATGTAATTGTAAATGAAATTGTTTTCTTAAATTCTTTCTGCTATTTCATTAGTGTGTAAAAATGCAACCAATTTCTAGGTATTAATTTTGTACGCTGCAACTTTACAGGGTTCATTTATTTATTATTTATTTATTCATTTATTACTTTTAAAAGTTTTTTGGTGGTCTTTAGGGTTTTCTATGTATAGTATCATGCCATCTGCAAAAGGTTACAGTTTAACTTCTTCCTTACCAATATGGATGTCTTTTATTTATTTTTCTTGTCTGACTGTTGTGGCTAGCACTTCCAATACTATGTTGAATAAAAGTGGTGGGAGTGGACATCCTTGTCTTAGCTCAGTTTTTCACCACTGAGTATGATGTTAGCTATGGGTTTTTCATATATGACCTTCATTATGTTGAGCTATGTTCCCTCTAAGAGTTGAGGGAGAGTTTTATCATAAAACAGATGTTGAATTTTGCGAAATGCTTTTTCCGAATCTACTGAGATGATATCTGATTTTTATTCTTCGTTCTATCAATGTGGTCTATCACCCTGACTGATTTTGCAAATACTGAGACATCCCTGCATCCCCAGAATAAATCCTACTTGCTTGTGGTGAATGATCCTTCTAATATATTGTTGAATGTGTCTTGGTAATATTTTGTTGAGGATTTCCGCATTTATGTTCGTCAGGAATTGAAAATATTTTTAAACTTATCAATTTGGTCATTTATGAAAACAAGTACATTGACATCTTCAGTCCCTTTTTAACTTTAACTCCACTTATACTATTTGACCTGAGTCCACAGTAAAATACAGAAGCCAACAAAAAGCACTGTAGAGAGGTTCATAAGGACGGTGCTTATGGTGGCTCTTTTTTGCTAAGGGAAGGATATTTCTCAAAAAATTTTGCCCTGGTTTCCCTGTACAACTTTGCACTTACCCAGGGGTTTTGCTATTATTTTTCTCAATATTCTGTCCTCTAATCAGATTCTTTTCCCAAAAATAATTATCTGTCCGCTCTACCTTTTTAATGATGGCAGCATAATAAACTGCTTTGTTCTCTATACAATGCCCTCGATTTTGCAAAATAAAGCATAGCTCACATCATAGAAGCACTTGATTTTTTCAAACTGCATACACAGCTGATTACCATTCCATTAATTCACTCATTAAGCTGACTTGTACAACTGGTGTGTGAGAGGCACCATGCTCCATACTCAATCAAATTAAAAGAACTTTATCATAAACTTTTTAAAAGTGTAAGAAAGCAACATTTTTGGCTACTTATTAGTGCTTCAGTATACCACTCCTAAGACAAAACACTTAAAAGTTATGTAATTTTAGGGGGCGCCTGGGTGGCTCAGATGGTTAAGCGTCTGCCTTCAGCTCAGGTCATGATCTCAGGGTCCTGGGATCGAGCCCCGCATCGGGCTCCCTGCTCAGCGGGGAGTCTGCTTCTCCCTCTCCCTCTCTCCCTGCTTGTGCTGGCTCTCTTGCTCTCTCTCTCAAATGAATAAATAAAAAATCTTAAAAAAAAAAGTTATGTCATTTTAGTATAATTCATATATAATAAGCTTAAACAAGACCAATAATATTAACATAATTTTTAAAAATTCAAGGAGTATAAAGTTTCCTAAACATGATTAGATCCCTTAACTTTGCAGGTGGGAGGTTGTGTCATAGATCCTGTTACAAATCTGATAAAATCTCTAACCCTTCTGGCCCTGGAAAAATGCATAGTTAACAAATACACATAAATTCTGTATACAGTTTCAGAGGTCCCAGATTTTACATCCTGACCTAGAGAATGTTTTCATTAAATTATAGGTGAATGACCCTGAGTTGACTACGTAAAGCTAAGTTACATATTCATGCATAGAACACACAAAAACACGTTTTTTTAAAAAAATAGCTTTAAAGTAACATCTATGTTGTCCACTTGTTATAAAGTAGCTTAAACATAGGTTTTACACCCAAAAGCCAAATCCCAACTATATCCAAGAGAAACCAGAAACTATGAACCAGAAAATTCAATAGTTGGTCTAACTCCTCGAAAATAACCTCCTTTCCTTTAAGTTAGAAACTGGTATGAAGAAATAGGAATGACCCAGCTTGTTATTATAATGGGCAAATAAGGGAAGAGAAAATATCCTGAACAGCCAAAGCAAATTCTAAAAAACTTTGCAGTTCAAATGCATTCCAAAAGCTGCTTGAGTTATACTTAGGCTGCTAGAACTATGCATAAAATGGGAACTTCAATCACCCAGAACTTATATTTATCTAATCCATTTATACTTATACAAGTTACAAGATCTCAAAGTTCTGGGTCCCATAATCATTTTACTCTTTCATTTGTCTTACGGACCATCAACTATTTAAGACATTTTACTTAAAAAAAGCATTCTATAGCTTGATCATATAATTGAGTTAAAACCAAAGGCCATATATTCTTCTTCTGTACTTTTTAGAATAGTGACCATACAACATAAAGAGTCAGATTTCCAGTAACGTGAGAACAAAATCATGAACTTAAGAATGTTACAATACCTGAAAACTGAGGGGGGAGGGGGGAACAAAGGGACTAAAATTAAAACTACCAATTAAACAATCTTAGCTGTCCGACTTCCTCTGGGTATCTTCAGTTCTTCTCAAATTACCTGAAGACGGCAACTAAAGCACGGTAACACTTGTGCAATGAGAGTAAATGCTTGGAAGAGACACAATGAAAAAAGGGGGAGACACCAACTGAAAGAGAGCAATCTGGGGGACATCTGCCATGCAGAAAACAAAATGTAGTACACACTTCAGGAAGTTCCTGAAGGCACTGCTTTATCGCAGAATCATATTCACATATGTAACAAGCAACTCACAAAAAAGAGGGGAGAGGAGACACAGTCAATATACTTTTATTAAGCACAAAATGAGTATTTCCCAAACTTCTGTAAGTCATATACCACTTCTACTTGCTATTACATCTGAGTATCCTATTAACCTTTTTTTTCTTTTAAGATTTTATTTATTTGACACAGAGATAGAGAGGGCGCATAAGCAGGGCAAGTGGCAGGCAAAGGGAGAGGGAGAAGCAGGTTCTGCACTGATCAGGGAGCCCGATGCAGGGCTCGATCCCAGGACCCTGGGATCATGATCTGAGCCAAAGGCAGATGCTTAACCAACTGAGCCACCCAGGCGCCCGTCCTATTATTTACTTCTATTTTTAAAATCAGCACAAAATTATACATCACTGAGTCCTCTAAAAATAGACAACATTTTGTCTGTATTTTACTCTTTAATATAAGAGTTGTGTTGGGATATGCCTATGAGTCCTGAAGAATCCAGCTAACTTTTATCTCTTGCAATATTAACACTTAAGGAAAAACTATCTCTAATTTTATATACCCTCATCTTGTTTCCCAAAAATTAAACTAGTCTTTAGATAGCTTAATAAGATAAACTACATTTCCAAAATAAGAGAAAGAGATCTAGTCTAAAAAAAGCGTAGATATGAAAACAAGGTGTAAGTATACCCTCTTCTAATCAGAATGCTTAGAAAATAACTCAATTAACGTATTACCTACTACTGAATTTAACCAACTTCGCAGGGCAAAAGCACTACTCTAAGTTACTTAAAATTCAAGTTTAGTTAAATTAGCAGTTTAGGGTTGTCAGGCAGTTCCATAAATAATAGACTCAACATATAAGGTCAGCATTTAAAAGCTTATGACAACTATTTTATTCAAATAAAAAACTATCTTTACCACTCCTAAAAATGTGTAATGGGTCCTATGATACTTACGCTGCATAAGCTTTTGCTATCCTCATGAACATAACTTCATCACCTCCTTTATCTGGATGATACTTAAGTGACAGCAAACGATACTGTTTCTTAATTTCTGCTACTGTTGCCCCCTAAAAGGAAAGCTTTGTTTTAGTTAAAATAAGCACAATGCTGTAAAAACATAATTCATCCTATTTTGAACTTTAAATATAAACTATTCGGTATTTTCAGAAAGAGAAAATGTTTTCATCCTATATATTTGTCCCATAAGTTTCATCCCATGTATTTTTTAAATAAAAATATACTTATTTTGTCCAATATGTTTATTTTATTGAGCACCTACTGGGTGTTGTGTAACACCAGGCACCAAGGATTTAAGGATGAAACCACACAATGCCATATTAAAATAAAATAAAAAGATAGCAACATTTAAATATCAAAGTGATCACAGTAAATTAAGTCTGTCTGAAGAAAATCAAAGGTTAACTCCTTTTCTAAGAAATAATCAGAAGAATATTTGGTTTCATTTGTTTATCAATACTTTAATATTAAACACTTAAGAAGTTTACCTACCTGTTTCCTAATTAGACTCAATTTCTATTAATAAATTTTTCATATTGATTTTTATGGCATTAAATTGTCCCCCCAAAATCTTTTAATCTTAAAAAAAATCTCTCTTGATGATCATAATCATCACAATAAGAAAAATCAGATGATATGATGCAAATTTTGCTTCTACAAAACCATTAACAATGCAACCAATTCTTTGTAAGACAGAAAGACTTAACACACTGCTTTAGTGTCAACTAACACAGGATCATGAGATTTTTACCATCCAACTAACATAAATGAACCCCCTGGTTTTAACTTTGCATTAAACCAATCTTATAAAAGTCTTTTAAAAATATACTAACTTCTCATCTCATCTTCAAACATTCTTGTACTTAGCAATTTCAAACCAAGCCTCACTAGGATGGAATTTAACATCTGCAGCTTAAAAAACATATATACATTAGAATAATAATGGATTACATATCCAAAGTCTGATTTCTTTAGGCACAACCCAATTCCTTTTAGGATATGGGCTTACAGTATTTTCACAGGGTCAATAAACTAATGTGCATTGTAGAAAAATACTACTTACAGGATCCAAATTTAATACTTCATAAGGATTGTATTCTTGATATTCTCGGTCTGTTTTGGAAACTTTGTATGCAAGGAATAAGAACAATGCCCATCCTGCAAGCAGAACTATTTTCCTGTTTAGGAAAAAGATAAGTGAAGTATAAATAAATATACCTATACGGGTTTCCTTTAAGAATCTATAAAGACATATGGCAGAACAAAGCAATAAAACAATCTGAAGTGTCCTACATCGCTATGATATTGACTCAATTCTATAATCTCTGGGTTGTAAACTCCTGTCACAATCAGAACAGCGCCTTTTTTTACCTTTGAATTCTCTAGAATCTAGTAGTCTGCATCTAGAATCTTACATGTAATATTCCCTCAATTACTATTTGCAGAATTTTATGTATAGAACTTAATTCAACTTATTGGTCTCATTATATTAGATCAAAATATATTAATACTAAGTATTCAATAAACCATTTATGTAAAAAAAAGAGCTGCTCTTAACCTAATAATTAGACTTTGAGTAAGATAAGCTGCAAAAAATAATGGGTGAATGAATAGCCTTGTTTATAACAGTAAAACTTTAGAAACACATTAAATATCCATTTATATGGGACTAATTAAATAAACCATTTATAGGAGACTAATAAACCAAGACACAGCCAAATAATTAGCCAATACAGATATAGAAAGATGTACATTGGATAAAAAAGGATATAAAGGAATATATAGTTTAAAAAAAACAACAGGGGCGCCTGGGTGGCTCAGTTGGTTAAGCGACTGCCTTCGGCTCGGGTCATGATCCTGGAGTCCTGGGATCGAGTCCCACATCGGGCTCCC